AACAATTATATTAGTTCCTAGTCAATTGCTTCAACTAAAGCAGAACCTACTTAGCACTATGGTATTGGTGCTGACAAGGCACTGTGTACTACGAAGATAGGTTTTGGGTTTGAATCACCCTTAAATTCACAATTATCGTGGTTGTGGCTCTGAAGAGAAGGAAGAACTCATGTCAATGTCCTTTTTTTTGTCAATGTCAACCTTTGGCTATAGATTAAACATTTTTGAGACATTTTTTATTACTGAACTGACAGAGTTGTACTCCTGCAAAATCATGGACGTGTCCAAATTAATAACTATTCAGATTGATTCATATTTACTTGTAAGGGTAGTTATGTCTGTACACTGACCACTGCGGTCCTTTTGGGGATCCTTCTAGACCGTGAATGAACATCACCAATTTGTAGTTTTACAACAGACCACAATTTGAGTTCAATTGAGCTTTGGTGTACAAAGCCATCACTGCAATCTAATCTAACATAATATCAATAAATAATGTAATATTCAAACAAATTAACTCAGTTGCTGCAAAATATCAAAATTATGAGTACCAATTATCCAGATTGTAAGTTTCTATTAGGTTTTGTTTTATGAATCACAACTTTTTGTATGAAGGATAGGTAAAGTTTAAGGTTGAATCTAAGTACTAGCCTCTATGAATATGACTATGGTATCTTAAGGTATCTTGTAAAAGTATATCTGAATAATTTTATAGATATCTAACATAACTTTCTACTCGAAGCATAGGTTAAGCTTAACTGGGAATCTGAATACCAGATTCCATGTATATGAACATGGATCCATTGCATTACCTTAGGATATCTTGTGAAGAATATTATACATATGTAATATAATTTTCTCTGTAAAGAATAGGTTAAGTTTAACGGTGAATCTAAGTATCAGCATCCAAATACAAAACAATAAATCAGTAGTGTTACCTAATAGTATCGCTGGAAGATATATTTGAAAATATATCTATTTAGTTAGGTCCACTTAGTAATGACAAAATTTTTAAAGCCTGATTTAATTATTTCAGTAATTGAAAATAATATGGAAAATTTTTAATAAATTATATTTCATTGAAACACAAAAATATATTTATGATATTTAGCCTATGTTGTTTTAAATACTTTTTTAAATGTTATTGAAGAGTTTAGATTCAGAGTTTGTTGAAGACGTTTTAACTTAGTGTCTTTTTTAATCATTAGTCCTTTAGATTGAATTATCTTTTATGTTATCGAACTTTATGAAACCAATTATCTTAACGGGACTGAATAGGGGTTTATTCTTTACTTAAGTTCCAATTAAATTCTGTAAAGTGTTTTTTTATTTTAAACAGTTATTTTATCAAAAACTCCTACAGAACCAATTACGATAACCCTTTTATAGACTTAATTGCCAGACTCAGTACTCCTTAAATGCTCAAGTGCAACAGAGACAATTTGTATCAGGATAGCCTCATCTATGCTTATTGTCAATATGAAATGGGAATTATTTTATTATTGGAAGGACACCTCATATAAAAATTATAATATATATGTATATAATAGATAATTGATCAATAAAAATTGAAAAGATTTTTAACCGAAAATATAAGAAGCATTGAAGCGCATAAAAAGCCTTAAGCGGTGTTTTTTTTATAGAAATTTTGCGTGCTTACAATTTTTCAATAGTTTTGTTAATTTCAATTGTTTAATGATTTTTTTTTTTTGGTAAAATTTTAAATTTGGCTAAAATCATTTTTATGCGCAAAATTGTCTTTGTAAGACTTTTTATTCCGGGACTGCATTTTCGTCGGGTGGAGCAAGCGACTCCTCGGTGGTGGGTGTTTTTTCAAGAGTATTTTCTGCTGGATCTTGTGCATGTTTATGTGGATGATTTTGTGCATGAGATTCGATTTGTGTATCGTGTACAGTGATGGGTTGTGGTGTTTCATTGTTTACGTTGGGTGCAGGCAAAATCCAAGATTCTAAATGACAAAAAATCGCACAAAGAAAATTCCATAAAAAAAATTTTAAAAAAAATTATTTAATATAATTTGCCAATCTGTTTATTTTTTTCTATTGTCAATATTAAATTCAACGTTCTAACGTGCACTGTAGTTCAAATTGTAGTACATGTTACCGATGCGATTATGTGTGTGTGTTTGTGTATGTATATGTTAATTTTTTTTTATATATAAATTAAAATAAATTTTTAGATTTTAAAAAACTTAGTAAAAATGTGCGCCTTACAGAAAAAATTAAAAATTTAGTATATAATACATATATCATATGTATATATATACATATTTAAAAAAATTTTAATTGTAAAATTTTATGTTTGACTATGACAATAAATTATATATGATCACATAAAATGTTTATAATAAATCAAAAGTATACATATAATCTGTATAATTATTTATATTTTTATAAATAATTATTTTAAATATTATTATATTTTTTATATAATAAACTCTTAGCGACGTTACTTTTAAAATAATCTAGCGATAATCTTTTTTATAGTAAAGCATTATAAAAAATTTTGTTTTACCTTAATTTTTTTAATTTAGACATTATGAAATTTTAAGAATTTTTTTAAATTTTAATTATTTATTCTTTTTCGTCTTTCTCTGAAAGTTTAAAAGAATTAGTTCTTTTTAGTGTTTTATTTTTCTTATATATTAATCATGAATATATAGAGCTCATATGCATTTTCTACTTTCTGATAACTGAAGATATATGCGAAACCATTTACTCTTGATATATAATTACTTTGATATTACACGAAGTAGTGACATAATAAAAATATATTATTATCAATGATATAATGAAAATTGATTGATCATTATTGATGTTGAGTGATATATTTTTTGAGGTCAATAAATGCTTTTACTTTTTATTATTTTTTTTATTAGATTATATATATTTTCTTTCGAAGAATGATAAAATATTAATTTTTAGTTTTCATATTTTTCATTTATCAGTACCTATACTTAACTAAGAATAATATATTATTAGTTTATTATTATATTAATAAAAATTATTATAAAAATAATAATCAATCGTAAAACGCAAATTGGTATCTAAAACAGTTCACCTCTATTTTGAGAGCGAAAAACTTTGGTGCTTAAGATGTATATTATTATAATATTAAAAAATATATTATTGTAATATTATAGTGACAATATATTGTTATAATATATTATTAGATAATTATAATGCTCCTAAGAATTAATATAAAAAAAGTAATTGCTCCTCGTGATGTTTGATAAAACATTATTATATAGTGTCTAAAGCTCTTTTACTTTATAGTGACAGTGATCTCTTGGGTGATAATCTATAATTGCTTATAAAATCCTAAGCAATTTTAGGATTTTATTTTCAATATATTTTTGAACGCTTTGTTAATAAAAAAATATATTTATATGAATTCTTTGATAAAATATTATTATATAGTGTCTAAAGCACTTTTACTTTACAGTGAAAGTGATCTTTTAGGTGATAATCTATAATGCAATTTTAGGATTTTATCTTCAATATATTTTTCAATGCTCTGTTGATAAAAACAGGTACTTGGGTGAAGAGGGCGTAACTACTGTGTATATTGAAGATAAGAAAGATTATCCACATTTGGCAATACTGTTTCAGTGCCATAGATCAAATGGAACTGCCATCGAAAGTACCTTATGTTAAATTGCAATATGGTCCATTTTTAATATGGACCATAACTTGCTTGCCATTTTATAATATGGACCGTTTAACAAACTCTGAACGGTTTTAAAATTCTTAAAACTAACTACAAATATGGTGAGATTTTTACGCATTGTATTTCTTCAAGTATTTAAAATGGTTACTAAAAACTATAACTAATACATGTTATTATTATTGTAATAAATAATGTTTTTTTTTGTAATGATACCTAAATCTATTTATTATTATTGCTTTTTTATATAAAATGAACAATAAATTATAATTATTTTTTTATCAGATTTTCAAAGTCTATAACAGATTAAGTCATTATTTAAAAGTTCTTAAGAGTTGAAATAATTTTCGGAAAATAATAAAAATTTGATAATTATATATTAAAAAATTAAGAAGAATAAGCAACATTACTGATATAAAGAACGTAACATTGCGGCGCGAAAGGTGGAAGTTACTTATAGACAGCTTATGCTCAGTATAAGAGGCTGCTCGAAATCATTAACGTCGAGCAAGGCTTATTATTATTATTATATTAAAAAAATATCCACTTCAAATTATAATTTTTTTTACTCCTTACATATCACCTAACTGAATTTTTAAATAATTATAGAAAAATTGAAAAAACTTAAACCGAAATAGTTTGAATAGAAAAGTAACTTTATGCAGATAATTAAACTTAATCGCCTTCCAGATATTGGTGATGCTGATTTTTTCTGTTGAGTGCATATACATATAAATATTGCGTCGTGTAATTTGTTATTTTTTAGTTATATTATAAATTTGTTTTTAATTAAATTATTAAAATTGTCATAAGTAATGATTTGATTTGTGTGAACAAGATACGAGTAATGTGTTGTTGTAATTAGAAATTTGGCTGCTGTTTAAGTACTTGAACAACAGATATGAATTGTGGGTTATATTTGAAAACATTACTTCAACAAACTACGGGGTTATATAAATATATAAACATACAGGATATTAAGCGGCCGTTTAATATGAGAACCCAAACTGAACAATGAAAACTTACAAATAATTTAAAAATAAAATAAATAGATTGTATATAAACTATGTGAACACATTTGAAGGGACAAAACATAATTGCCAATTAATTGTATTAACTTAAATGATACAATATAAATAACATAAATTATTTAAACAATTATAATAATCATAAACAACATAAACATAAGATACAAACTATAAGACATAAAAAACGGCACGAATCAATAATAATTATTAATTCATTAATTACTCAACAATATCGATTCTAATAAATACTTCACATTTTATATGGTTTTTAATACAGTTTCACACATTTAAATTAACAATATTTTTCATTGAATTGATTTTTATATCGAACCTGGTGTGACCTGACGATGATGATGGACACTTGATGGCTTATCTTTTTTACTTTGTCAATGCAAATTTTCAAATTTTCAAAATTTTTTAATTTATTTTATTTTTAATAATATTAATTAACCGATTAGCGTCAAAGTAGTTTAATGGAGATGCTTTCTTTCGATTCATGGATTTTGTTTCAATATTTTATGATATATTTTTTTTCTAAAAAAATTTCGATGTTAGTTGAATTTGAAAAAATTTGCACTTTTTCCATTGATAAATTTTTATGCTCATGGTTTATGGTATCCTTGAACTGACTTTTGACCGACTATGGTCAGATTTTCGCGCATTTCGTACAAATGATTTGTTGATAAATATTATTTGTGATTTTTTAAATAATTATTGATTTTTTTCTATTACATATATCGAACGAATATTCGAATTTTGGAATATACGAAAACACTAGCACTCTACATAAAGTTACCTATAAAAGTAGGAAATAAAATTTAAGAAAATGCAAAAAATTAATTTAGAGAAAATTTAAAAATTAAAAATATTAGTTACACATAAATATTTTAAAAATAATATTTAGAAATAATACAGTTATAATAATTTCGTATGAGATATGTTTAATGGCATGTGATCTAAAGTTAACTTTTAGCATAATATTTATATATTATTATGATTTTCTTTTTGCAATTGCAAGAATTAATGATATTTATAAATAGTTTAATTGGTTTAAATACAAATGTGCTAATTATAAAAATTATTAATTAGAAAACTGTGTTAATATGTAAAAAAAATATTATTATTATTTCTTCAGGTTTTTGTATTATTATTGCAACTAATAAAATTTGCTTACTTGCAATAATTCCAACTATAACAAGACCAATTACTCCCATAATTATCATCATCTAAAATATGAGTAAATTAAAATTGAATTTATTAATTATGTGTATATTAAAAAAAAAACAAATAATATTGCTAAATACCTTTAAGTTTTGCAACCAGAATTTCCTTTTGAGTTTGCCAGCTTGTTGCTCGAACTGCGAAGCACCTTGTTGTAAGGCATCGGCTCGATCATCCAATTCAGATAGTTTTTGATCTCTTTCGAGCACTTTCTCAACATTTGTTCGCATTATATCAACGACCTGATTTAAATGAATTATATTGAATTATTTAATACGGTTAGATATTACCATTATTATATTTGTAGGAATTTCCACTGCGACCTAGAGATATATTGTGTCTCCTTAATGGACTTATGTATAACAATCGATATTACAATGGCGAATATTATGTTCAACGCATGTAGAAGTGTTATTGCAGTGCTCGTCATAAAATTCGCGAATATGGAGTATACAAAGACTTACAGAATTACAAAAAAAAATTAATAATAATTAAACGAAAACGATAAGTGGAAAGCATCATCATAAGTGAAAACTCTTGTGCAAACAGCATTTGTTCGATTTATAAAAATACCATAACTTCACACTTGTTGTGGCACTCAAGTCAGTGTACTTGTAACTGAACTAATGATAGACACTAACATAACTGATAGAGGCAGGTCAGTGATCTTTCAAATATAATATATATGCTCGTATAGCCTATAGTGTGACCACTTGTCAGCTAAAATAAAACATTCAGCTGATAGAGACAGCAAACATAACTATATAATCATAGAATTTTCACTTAGCTTAAGCAGAAATCATAAATATTTTCTTTAGCTTGTACACAAACCACAAATAGTGTTGTATATTCTATTAGTAACTAATAAAATAAAAGCTTTTAATATAATATTATTTTGCATTATAAGCAAAAAAAACCAAAAAACATTTATCAAAAGTCTTTGCACTGAAATATATGCAAAAAAAAAACAAATTAATATTTAAAAAATCTTAATATTTCATAAATTTGGAAAAAAGTTCAGTAAAGTTAAAAACAAAAGAACATGTCAGAAAAGAAGAGCGTAAGAGAAGCGATGACACACTATCTCCTTTAAGCGCGGTGCAGACTATCATTGAAGTTGCGCTCTCTCTCTTGCTCGAATTTATTCTAGCGACCGAAGTTAAACATACTCACATTCAAGAGTTGTCATACAAGCTAAATTTTTGAAGAATAAAGGTGTTTACGCACGCTGTGCAACTATTCTTAGATTTTCTCTCTTGAATGACACTCAAACATGATAGTCTGTAGCGTGCTTTAAACAAACTAGAGGTAAAAAAAGATCAACAATATCAAAAAGAAACTAAAATATCCATGCCACCTCCAAAAAACGTGAGTAATGTTAAAGACTTCAATAAGTTTAGAAATCTAGTCTTAGAAAAAATAAATGGAATTGTTCAGTTTAAGGCTTTAACCAATAGTGATGTCAAGATCACTTGAAAAAATGAGAATGACTATCACCAAATTAAAAATGTAATTCTTATAGCAATACTTAACCATATTCTACGACCTTGGGCCAAGATTCATTATTGGTCGAGACTACAATGTCAAACATACTGTCTGAAAGTCTCGGCTTATCACTCCTGGTAAAGGCAATGAACAACTCGATGACATAAATGAAGCAAAATGCAATTATAACTCATCGCGTTCTTCTACATACTGGCCTACAGATAGCAACGAGATACCTTCCCTGGTAGACTTCTTCAGTTTGAAAAGGATTTCTTCTAATTTTATGGCAAAATAAAAATGTTAGATGTTAGATCTTCCAAAGAGTTGGAAGATCTAACATCTAACCATACTCCTGTTCTACTAACCTTAAGTAGAAACCTTTCCAATTAGCACATAAATTGGGACTGATTTAAAGAAAACTTAGATAACTATATTGACTTGAAGCAGAATTTGAGAAGTAAGGTCTCGACATGTGACTTTCTTCCCGAAATATCGAGGTTTAAAGTTCAAGAATCGAGGTTTAAACATCTATCATTAATAAAAAGAAAAAAATAGGAGGAAACAGGACATGTTATATGTAGCTAAATAATTTAAAAAGTTGCATTGGTCGAAAGATTATTTGAATAGACATTCTATTAAACGAGTGAACTGAAACTGTTATTTCTAATCTGTTCCATTTCATAAAGCGTTACAAATTATATAGGTTATATTAAAACTAAACGTAGTTAATAATAACTTAATAATAACGCAGTTAAATACATCAATTAAAAATACAATACCTTCAGCATACCGCTAGTATCATGCTGAAGTCATTCTTTTAGAAGAATTTAACACATTATAGGAAGTTTTAAATATTTGTATATGCAGATAACAGCACACCGCTTAGCTTGATTTAGAGAGACACACATTTATCAATATAATTAAGATGCTACATCTAACTTATAATGGGTATTCCGACAGAACACTGTCGGTTCTATGCTTAAAAATTTAATATTCTCTGAATATTAATTATATATAGGTTAGGAAAGAATACTTAAAAGTTCAATTGTTAGAAATACGAAGAAAATGTAACTGTTCAATGTAGCTTTGTCACTGTTCAATGTAAGTAAAGTGTGCATTGAACATGCTATGAACTTTCTTTCTGGAACGTCTCAATCTCCTACAGAACTTTATCTTAATGAGCATGTTAGCTTCAATAAAGGTTTGTTACGGTTTAAACACATTCGACTTCTATACAACATTTAAGACTTTAGTACAGGTTCCAAAGATTTGAACAAAATCGAGTTTTATACGACAACAAGCCAAAATTAACCTTTAGGATCATCATTATAACCAAATTTTTTATATCCACATTAGATATTTCATAATGATATTAATTTTATATAGATTTACCTCATCAACTTGTGCCTGCGTTTGTTGCAGTCGTTTTTGTGCCGCAATTTGTTGGGGATTACGTGGTCCTCCAACAATCTCACCATCTCCACCCTCACCGGCTGGTGCTCCATCAGCTGGAGGAGCATCAGATGCTGGTGCTGGATCCGCCCTTTAAACAGAAAACAAGTTTTCAATTAAAAATTTTATTTAACATTTCTAATTATTATTATAAATATTTTGTACATTGTGTTTAACGCTTATCAGTACTACTGTCAATATATTTACATCTCTAGCATTTTATTAAATAAGCAAAGTTAGATTATGTTATAAAACTAACATACTCTCCCTTATTTTTATCCTTTTTTCCCATATTAAAGAACTGAAATATTAATTGGAAATTATAATAAGAGTTTAATTAATATAAATTAATATTTTAAAATAGTTTGTAGTAATGAAGTGTATATCATTTCTTTTATAAAAAGATGTGATAGAATATTATCAAGATGAATTATAAGAAAATGGATATTTCAATTATTCATGATATAATATTATTATTCTCTTATCCCTTTTGTCAAACAACAATGGAAGATATAAGATAGCTTGGTCATGTTTTCCAATAACGTACTTTAGCGGAGAACGTACACTCCGCTACACTGTAAAGAAAGCACAAAGCTTAACCGATAGAAAAAGACCGTGGAATTAATCTCTGGATACAGTAGAAGAGGACATAGTAATCCTGTTTATTTAAAATTAACAAACCAATTCTATTGAACATGAAGTGACATTATTTTAATAGTTAAAAATAATGATAAGTCCATCTATCCTATACAACCTGGATACAGTAGAAGAGGACATAGTAATCCTGTTTATTTAAAATTAACAAACCAATTCTATTGAACATGAAGTGACACTGACGCTTTGACTTAAATGGGGTTGTAATAGTTAAAAATAATGATAAGTCCCATCTATCCAATACAACCCAACCCAAATATACATATATTTATTGCTCTCTGCTAAAAAAAAATGGTTGTTTCTTCTTAAATTTTTTTCTTTTATTAGTTGTTATAAATGCTTGGCAATGTTTCAAAAATAAATGCGAATAAAATATATATTAATAAATAAAAATAAATTATTTATAATATAAGTATAAGAATGTGGTAAGTCCCGAACATAATTTAAAAAAAAAAATTATTTTAAAATTTTTAAACAAATATTCTTTCAATTAAAAATGAATACATATATTTGAAAAAAAAAAATTTAAATAAATAAACATTTTTAAATTGATAATTTAAGTACATACATAAATAATGGAAAATTTTTGGGAATGTATTGGGCAACCTTCAACCTTTTAGCACTTCTGTTTTGCCCATTTATTTTATATAATGATTCATTAATTTTTCATATGGAATTGATTCCACCATTAAACACAATCACCAACAATTTTTAATAACCATTCCATATATTATAAGACTTTTCCATATTTAAATAATAAAATCAATATTTAAATTGTCACACTTACATTTTTCTTAAAAACTGTGCGGCTTTATGCCAAAATGAGGAGGCAGAGAAGTGAAGAAGTGCTTAAGATTCCAAACACTAAACACAAAATTTGATTTCCTTGCTTATGGCAACTGCGGCGGTGACTACGAAAGGCACACCACACACACAATGCAGTATTTGTCTTCTTCTTCCCTTTGTTGAATAGATTGCCTACGCGAGCGCGGTTAGAGGTACAATGTCGTTGTGGTGCGTATGTGTTGGAAGCTTTTCCCTTCTTTTTAACTGGTCGTATGTCTCAATGAAGTTAAAATAACTTTACACGAACACATACACACACGCTGTTAACCACAAAAATTTGACTGACACTAAAAAAAAAAACAAATATTTTGGTTATTTAAATAATCCTATACTTCGATATAAAATGTAATTTAATATAAAAAAACATATTAAAGTATTAAAAACAATTTAAATTTCTTTATATTAAATTAACAATACAATTGATTTTTTTTCTGAACTAATTGATAACCCAAAAATGTTTTTGTTGTATTTTTAAAAAAGTAGTTTATTTTTTATTTTGTTTGATTTTAAAAATTGATAATTGTTATTCATATTGTTTATAATAAATATTCTTCCAAGTGATCTTTATTACATTTTTATTTGATAAGAACGTATTTGTATTAAATTTTTTGTAATTTCTTATGACAGCAACGAAAAATCAATGAAATTTTTTTTGCATATGACGAAAAACGCAATATCTCCACCTTTTGGTGTTCAAAAATTTTGCAATCAATATTTATAGTACAAAATTAATAAAAATCTATACAATTGCATGTATTCAGCTGCTAATTTGTTATTACATTGTTTTTAATTATAATTTGATTTTTACATATTTTTTTATTATTATTAATTTATAATTTTTAAGGAGCACCAAATTTTCACTTACAATATATTTTTCCAACTGCGAAAAACTTTCCATTATTCCAATGAAAAGCTCCACCGTTATGTGTACTTGAAAATGTAATGTTATTCTAAGCCAAATTTACAAAGACAGTGCATAAGAAAGAGATGACTGCAATGTGCATATAACAGTAACTTATATTGCGCCATCTAATGTAAAAATACAATTCACGCATAAATAATATTTAAAATGTCCAATAAAAGTTTTATTTTACATTATTTTTCATTTAATATTAATTATTAATTATAAGCAAATACTATATATTTGTTATTTTAATTATAAATTACATTTAAGATACATCGATTTTTACATAAAATATTATTGCAAATAAATAGAAGTAATTACTATATTTTTCTTTTTTGAAATTTAAAATAACTTTACGAGACATTGATTTTTACATAAAATGTGTTTGCAAATGAATAGACGTCATTAAAAAACAGTATAAATGAATTAAAGTATAAACACTTTAAGAAATCATCAATTTCATTGTATAATTTTTATATATATATTTAATATTTGCTTCACAGTTATAAATTTAAATATTAATAAAATTCATATATTAATTCTATTTTTAAAATTTTAATTATTAAAATTATTATTATTCAATTAATATTTTACATTATAACGCAAAAATTTTGTAAAATAATAAAGAAAAAAAATGAAAAAGTTTTATATAAATGGGGAAATTTTGGTTATTGTGTATTTGGGTTTATTAAATAAATCATATAAATGCTAATTTTTTTTCGATTTATTCAAAGTTAAAAATTTAAAAAAGTTAATGTATTAAAACATTGTAATGTAATTAATTTTCAATATATTTATGGAAACGATATATTTTTCGTTTAAAATATTCGCTGAAGGTAGTAATTTAGATTTACTATAATAAACAAATTGTTTTTAATTGAAATATTCATTCTCTACACAAACTCTATAACTTCTCTATTTATGATCCATACTTAAATAAATTGATTTTGTACATAAACTAATTAAATCTTACACTAATCAATTAGTTCGAACACATAGTTGTTAAACTTGATATAGGTTAATTAGAACACTATATAAATTTCTACATTATTGCTTCGAACATGTTCAATTCAAAATTTTAATATAACCTATTGTTTTAATTAAATAATTTTCAGCGTGCAATTTTGAGTTTCTGCAAATTGTTGCATATGCTTTTACTGTTTTTACTATTCTATATAAATTATTCAAAGTTGCTTAAAAATTTAAAACAAAATTGTGTTATTAATTTTTTAGCAAGTAAAATTACTTTTCTTATAGGTCTTACGACTACACTAGCTATAGTAGAAGCAGATTTTTGGATACATTTCCACATGTTCAGTAATACATTAAAGATTTAGAACAATAAGTATTCCTTTTAAAACATCAAACTTGTTAAATTCTAGTCAATGTAGACGCCAAGTGACGTTACTACACAAACATCACTTGATTTCACAAGTTTTTAAAAAAATTTCGAAGATTATATATATATATATATTTATATATATATATTATTGAGAAATGAACTATAATAGAGATATAATACAGATATAAATACAATAACATATTTATTACTAATATATATCTGAACTTGCTGAAAAGTTGTCGATTTTACCTTTGTGTCTATTCAGTTATTTAAATTTTGAATATTTACTACTACTAATAACACTGAACAAAATCAGCTGTTTTTATTCTAAAAGCAGCGGCTGATGTAAACAAAAAAGTGTAGTTCTTCAAATAGCATTTGTTTTAAATTTATAACCATAACATTAAACATGTAAATATTTATACACTATAAAACTTTAAATAATATTAGTTTTAATAATATTGCCAATAATGTAATATACAATAGTAATTGCAGGTTCCAAAAATACTTCACCTGGGCTTCATTATTTACAGCGGCTAAAAATATTTGTAATCAATACAGCAGCTTCGCAGATTTCTTTATTTACATATGAAATTGAAAACGCCATGTGCGACAGATTGGAGCAAGAATGCAGTCGAGAAGTTGTTGATGACAAACGACCAACATTTGGGAACCGTTTCTTAACTAACGATGTCGATGTTTACACGCACAATGCTTGGTAAATATAATTATATACGAGTAATTGAAAAGTGTTGCAGACGTTATTTCTCTACTGAATGGGAATTTACACGCCATCGCAAAAAACCTAAAAGCGGCGGCAGAGTACTTACAAAACCAAGTGATGCTTTTCAATTTAATGCGTGGTATTAACTGACATCTAATTTTTAATTATAATATTTTTAAATACTTTTTACAGGGATAACGTAGAATGGGATGAGGAACAAGAGCAAGAAGCACGCCAAGCTGTGCTTAAAAATTCGACTGAAAAAATGTCTACAGAAAATCAACTAAAATATCAACAAGAAGCTGATAAATTTTGGGATACTTTCTATGATATACATCAAAATCGTTTCTTCAAAGATAGACATTGGCTTTTCACGGAATTCCCAGAGTTAGCGCCACAAAGCAATGACAAAGACATAAACTTAGCACCACGTACTATCTTCGAATTGGGCTGCGGTGTTGGTAACACAATTTTGCCAATATTAAAATATAGCAAAGAGCCACGATTAAAGGTATATGGTTGTGATTTTTCAGCTCGTGCAATTGAAATACTACAAACACATCCAGAATTTGATACAGGACGTTGTCATGTATTTGTTATGGACGCAACCAGCGACAAATGGACTGTGCCATTTGAAGAAAACTCACTGGATGTGATTGTTCTCATATTTGTTTTGTCTGCAATCGAACCAGCAAGAATGCAAAATGTGGCTCAAAATTGTTTTAAATATTTGCGTCCTGGTGGATTAGTACTCTTTCGTGATTATGGTCGTTATGACATGGCGCAATTGAGATTTAAAAGCGGCAAATGTTTGCAAGATAACTTTTATGTGCGCGGCGATGGTACAATGGTATACTTCTTCACACAGGAGGAGTTAAGGGATCTGTTTTGCAATGCCGGTTTTATGGAGGAGCAAAATGTAGTCGATCGTCGTTTGCAAGTTAATCGTGGACGTATGTTGAAAATGTACAGAGTTTGGATACAAAAGAAGTTTAAAAAACCAGTTAACAACGAAGAATAAGCGCTGACGATATTATTTGTATGTAATGATTGTATATTGTTAAATAAAAATTATTATTTGAATATAATTTATGTGTAAATATATTTTGTTTTTTAATAGAATAATACAATGCAGAATGGTATATAAAATGTTATTGATTCATTTTTATAAAAGTTTAAATAAATAATTATAATATAAACAAATTTATTTACGAATACTTCAAATTTTACTTTGTTAATATTAAATAAGCAATTTCTTATCAGAAATTTAAACTTATTTTCTCCCCATATACGAAGAACTGTCAAAGTAAGAAACACAATCCACATTCATTTCAAGTAGGGTTGCAGGTGTCTTTACACCATATGTGTGGTAAAGTTCTTCAACGGAATTACACTGAGCAAATTACACAAAACTTAAAATTTTCGTGATTGAAAAGTTAATTACAAATTTAATTTTATTTCTTTTTTCGTAATATTTTACAGGTTATGATAGTCCTTTTTTGCACACAAATCATTCATGAAATTATGGTTAATATTTTGATTAGTCTTGTATCTTCGAAATGTAAGATTGTGAAATTCGATATTCTATTAGAGTTTTTATTTCTCTTATGTCGTTTTCGATTGGTAAGTCCGGGTTAACTTTTTCAAACGAGATTCTTTGTTAGTGCAATTTTCATTTTTGATTGGTAAATTTGGAGTGAAATGTATAACATATGAGATAAATTTATAACACTTTAGATATTTTGCCAGAGTAACAAGATTACCCTAAAATTAATAGCAGTTTTATATAAAAACAGATAAAGTGAAGTTTGATTCGACATATGCATTTATAAAAAATATAAATGTGTACTCTAAAAACGTTTGGGTGGGCAACAAAATTTAGATTAATTCCAGATTTACTAATCGAAAACGCAATTCTAGTGCCTAATTTGGCGATATTATTTTACTAACATATGAGAGTGAACTGTCACGCAAGGAATCATATACTCAATATTAATTACAACCATGGAACGATGGAACCTTGTTGTAAAATATACATAATTATAATAATTTATTTGAGCGCACTATAAGCGAAAGTACAGAGACATTTTAACCTAAATTTGTAGCAGTTGTGTTTAGGCCTAAGCATTATCAAAACTTTTGTCTAACTAAAAATATTAGTGCTTTATAGTAAGTGATATTTTAACATATTTTCTCGACTAAGTTCAGCGAAATTAAGTTGTTTTTTCTAAACAAAATTCACTTTTAAGGTTAAATTAAGGAAAATGACCTAAATTTCCTTGAAATTAAAGAACAAAATTAAGATAATATCTGGAATTATAATAGGTGAAATTAAAGCACATTTCAAATGGAACTATGCGTGAGATAAATTTTAAGCAAAAGATAAGTTGAGATAACTACAAGGTGACAACCTTTGCCAGTGACAGCTGAATTTAATAAAATCGGAAAAAGTTTTAAATATACAGCAAATTTTTAAATTTGAATATAGAGAAAAAACTGTAATTGTTATTAATTTAAAATAGAGTGAAAAATAATAATTCACATAACTGAAATCCACGAAAGCTAATAAAACTACTACAACAATCAACTTTTAAAATTTCCCAGATATAAATGATGTTTGAAGCATTTAATTTTTAACATTCGATTTGTAAACAAAAAACATATGATTTCCTTAATTTTGGACAGTAAACTTTCGATATTATATTAATTTCATTTCATCAATATCAAAAATTTGGCTTTCTGAACATAGTATAACATTCAAAATAATTTTTTGTATTGTTTATATTATAAATATTAATTTCTTTCGAATTACACATGTTAAGCATAAATTGTGTAATCTGTGTACTCTATTTTGACATTAGAGTTTTGTGCACTGGTAACACTTTTCAACCAACAACAAAATGAATCGGAATTATTTTAGTTTAACGAGAAAATTACGAGACAAAAGGTTGAATCTCGGATAGTGACAGTTTCATTTTTTGCTACAAACGTAGTCTACACATAATAAAATAATGTAAATTTTAGTTAAAGTTTAGTATAAATTTAACATAAAAAATGTGTAACAAAATTTAAGTGCAACAATTTGAGAAAATCACAGTGAAACGTAATATTATATAAAATATATTAAAATAAATTATATTTATTTTTTTGCTTTAAGAAAAAAAGTAGCAAACAGAGAAAACAGTTTAATGTTGTTGTTGTCGCGCCCCAATTACAAATGTAACAAATGCAAAAAGATAAGAAATAATTTGTTTATAATAATAATAACGCATGTAAATAATCTTTTGAAAATATTTCCTATATGCAGTTAAAGTGAAAAAAATTTTATCGGGTTTTGATCGTTTGTACGCATTTTTTTTTTGTGTTACGTTACTGGCTGCAATTTTATCATAGTTTCCTGCCTTGCACACAAATTCTGCAACATACAAAAACAACGAACATAAGCAAGCGATTCTGTGTAGAATATCAATTCCACATATATGTTCAATATAAAGTAACCACACAATAACAACAACAACGACAACAAAAAATAATAATAACAACAACAACAGCAGATGAAAACATTTGCAATGTGAACCAAATAAAAGAAATTAATAATTGGAATTTCATTTAAAATTCCTGCGTTAGTGTGCGTGTGTGTTCTCCACAATTCTTACCTGTTCCGCGGCGTTGTTTTATCTACCTGCCTCGCTCGTTATTCTCCCTACATTTTATCTATCGGTTTCTGCCTATACAGTTTGCTTTTAATTCATTAATTCATTTTGTTTGTAATTGTTTTGTGTTTGAATTTTGTTTTCATTTTTAGAATTTTAAGAAATACATTTTCAATTTACTGCTGCAATTTGTTTCGGTGGTAGTGTTTCCACCTAACACGAAACCCCTTGGATAACAGATAAATTATAATAAAGCAAAAGCTAAAGCCATTAACGAATTAATTAGTAAATAACGTTTGGATTTAATTATAAAACTGGCGGAGGAAGTTACGGAAAACTCCAACAAAATGAGTTGGGGTATTGAATTATGGGTAAGTAAAGTAAACAAATTAGTTTCTAGACTCAAACATTTTTAGGGAACTTTATTGGTGAGCCCTTGTTATCATTATATTCAAAGTAATGATATATATAAACTCTAAAGCTTTTCTAATATTAACAAATCGTCAATGAAAAGTGATAAGATTTGCTTGACGATTAATCGAACGTTGGGCGGATATGGGATAAAACAAATTCTAATTCGAGTTTCTTATGTTAATTAATGTGAAATTATTAGTACCATTGCCCATGAATCGGTTACTTAAATTAAAAAAAATCTGAAGAAAAAAAACATTTTAATAAAATAAAAATAATTTTTGTTGTTGTAGTGTACTACTTCTCGAAACCTCTCTACCAAATATGCTAGTTTCTGTTAAATATAATAGTCACTTTCGTCACAACTGACGTTAAATTACAACTTATATTAAAAATAAAATGTGCAATATAGACGATAGAATAGAGAGGATGACGTCGATATAGTTTTAGTAATATTAATTTATGTTAGATCGTGATCCTGATGATAACTCTCAAGGATGACTCACATAATAAAAAGTTTGTGTATTATGATTGGAATAATAATAATTACTTATATATTTCATTCATGCAGTTCAATAGACAGTTCAGATAGGTTTTAGGACGTCAATAGCATGCCCTCTCATCGAAAAGAGTTCAATAACACCTTAAAGAGGAATCATAGTAATAGGATATAGAGTTTTGTAGCACGCTAGTTGACCATACAAATATAGATAAACGTGCCCTTATACTGTACTGAGAAATTACTGTGTTTTGATTAAGAGAAAAACTTTCTAACGCTAATGCAATGTACCGGGTATTACTTTAA